TGTATATAATTGATGTAACCATGTCATGATACTAAATGATGTAACTATTTGATTTATGTAAATAACTGAATGATAAATTGGGTTGGTGTTGTAAGTTCGTACAATTGTTTAGTGTAACTGTTTGATTTATTAGAACACATGAGTAACTGTTTGGTATATTATATGGTAATTGTAACTAATTGATGTAACTGCTTAGTGTAATTGTGGTGCTGTAATGTTAATATAAGGAGAGAGAGAATAAGGAAATAAGGGGAGGGGGAGTAAGAGAGAGAGAGAGAAAATAGAGGAGAAAAATGAAAAAATTAAATCAAATATTTACATATTTAAAAAAATAAATTATCAATGTGAGAGAAAAGAGAGAAATAGATAGAGAGAAAATATGGAAGGGAGAGTGAGAGAGTAATGGAGAGAGAAAGGGAGAAATAGAGTAATGGAGTAATAAATGACCTTTTTGTTTTTTTTTTTTAAAAAGTTTGAGCACTCCCACTTCATTTTTTAATATGTGTAACAATGAGCTGTAAAACACCATGATGCCTATAAAAATGTGGATTAGGACTCCCACTTCAATTTGTTAATGTGTGTAACAATAGGTTGGGTGTGGTGAAAAGTCTTAGTATGATTGAAATAAAATTTAGGGTTGTCCTTAATATTTCAATTGTATAATTTTAGTTCCTTAAGTATTGAATATATTTTGTGGTTCCTTAAGCAGATAATGTTCAAATTGTTAATAATTTTTTATCATAAATTTCTCACGTAATATTTAAATATGGGCAAAAAAAATAATTTGAATAACTCTTGACCAAATTTTTACCCAAATTTTGGTGAAAGAACCACTAAAATTTCATAGTTTTGATTATGAGCTATCCAAATTTTTGTCAAGAACTAGTCATATTATACATTTTTAGTCAAGAGCAACCCAAATTTTGGTCAAGATCTACCCAAATTATTTTTGCGCAAAAAATTAAACCTAAAAAGTTACAATCCAAATGCATATCATCTTTGAATGAGCGAGTCCCATCAACTTTTTCAATGAGACCCCTCGTCTCATACTCATCCAAGGGAAAATATGCATTTAAATTTAAATTTTTGGGTTTTATTTTGTTTATGTAGCAGTTTTTATTATTTTTTGCCCATATTTAAATATCACTTTATAAATTTATGATTAAAAATCGTAAGAAATTTGAATGTTGTCTATTTGAGGCACCACATAGAAATACATTCAATAGTTCATGAATCAAAATAATGTAATTGAAATATTGAGGGCCAAAATAACATAGTTTTAAAATCCGGGCGGGACATCAACCTGGTGAAGGGACCGGGTCAATGGGTATTTGGACTGGTAATATAATAAAAAATTAAAAAATAATAATAAATAAATAATAAATAGACTAAAAAATCAGAATAATTATAAAAATAACATCAAACATGTAAAGTTAAGTCGAGAAAAATCATCAAACATGTATCCAATTTCAATATATTCAATTTTCAATGCAACTTGTAAAGTTAAGTAGAGAAAAATATCTCTATTAAAGTACAAGGCTTCAAGTCTCTTCGACAATGCATCAATCTAAGCATAATCAATGTAATTTGCACTTTTCAAAGTTTAAAGTTCAAACTCAAACTGTAGTAAGAAAGACACATGAAAACAAAATAAAGTACATGAGCATAGCATAAAGACTCAAATAAACAAAACTAAAAATAAATTATTTAAGCACTGTCTAGTTCCACTTGAAAATACAAATATTACTATTACTATCAATTAACTATTCTACAACCCAATTATATATAATAAACAATAAGAATCCCAAACAAGCAACAAGTTCAATACCACAATTCATAATGCCCTTACCGCAATAAGCAATCCACAAGTTCACAAGTTTTAACAAACATAAAACACACAAATGAAAAGTACAATACCACAATCCATAAGTTACAAGTACAAAATCTCAAATATGAAATAATAATGTTCATAAAAGTAAAAGAGCAGATAAAAGAGAACTCTGCAAAATGTAAATACAATTTTCAGTACAACTGATCTTAAAGTTAAAGCTCCAAGCAATTACAATCCACTCTCCACTATAAATGATGGATTGAAGGGCGAAAGAGATAGAGAAAAGGGGGGGGGGAGAGAGAGGGAGGGAAACTCACTGGTGATGAACTAGAGTTGACTGAACTAGAGATAGAGAGAGAGGATCGTTGGAGTTGATTGGACTGGATTCAAAAGGGGATCGCTAGAGTCGACTGCATTGATACAACAAGACCAGCTTAGATTGATGCAACTACTGGATTGGATTCAAAAGAGGATCATTGCTCGCTGGAGTCTAGTCTTGAAATCGCTGGTCACTGGTCGCTAGTGTCTGGTCTGAAAATCAAAAAGTCGTTAGTGTTTGAACTACAGTCGCTGGTCGTTGCTGCTCGCTAGTGGAGGCTAGAGTTGGACTGTGCTCAGTCGTTGGTGGTAGAGGTTGAGCTCAGTCATTGGTTGGTGGTGGAGGTTGTGCTCAGTCGTTGTCATTGGTGTCTGGTCTGGTAGATCTATTTAGGGCAAAACTAAAGGGAAAAATTCCCAAATGATGAAAAGTATATCACATTTATACAAATAAAGTTAAACTAGCCAGTTTGGTAAACTCGTTTGGTTCTCAGGGATTTACCGATTTTTAACCAATTCAATGGGTTTATCCCGAGTTCTTTACATAAACGGCCTTTTGTTAAAACTTGCCTAGTTAGGGGACCGGTTCACTGGGTTGACCTGTCGAGCCGGACCGGGTTTTAAAATCTATATAATAAAGTAGAACGATTTTGAATTTAATAGACAAAAAGCAGCTCAGATCATTTCGAGATCAAAAAAGGCATCATCCAACGGCCGACAATATTTCAAACTGTCTCAAACTATTGACGTCTCAGATTATTTCGATCCGACGTACCATATTAGCTTTTGAAATTTTTTTGCCGCTCAAAATTTTTAGTTTCTAAAACTAATATCCCTAAATTTAATTCTCCAATCCAATCAAATCCGATAATTAAGCAATCTCTCATTTCTCAACTCTATCTCTTTCTCCCTAAAATATAGATTACAACTCTAATCATTATTTTCCTTATTTTATTTCTTATGTTAAGGGATCACTTTCTATACTGAGACATTGATTATCCCTCACACTCTCATATTTCATGATTCTCTTTCCAAACTAAGACACATGTCTCCCCAAAATTCTATCCTAATGCAGCTCTCCATCTTTACTGTTCATATCACACACACATATTTATTGTACATATATATAGTACACATATCAAAGACATACTATATTTACATGTTATATTTTAGGGAATGTTTCATCTAAACATTATATAGTTGAGTCTAAATTAAATGACAACCCCTATAACAATAACTTTTGTCTCTATCAGTACATAAAATAATGATTTAACTAAATATTTTATGAAAATACTAAAATTACTCTTTATTATGTAAATAGACTAAAATGTCATCAATTTTTTCTCATTATATATGCGTTGGCCAACCAACAAATGTAATTTTAATCATCATATTATCCTAATGAATTATTTATTTTAAAACGTCGTATTATAACTTTGTTATAATATTAGTCATTATATTATCACTCATTTGGTTACATAATCAAGTTTTTATAATTTTTATATATTTTTTTCATAATAATTGTTATAGTTAAAAATGATTTTTCTATAATAAAAATTATAATTGATAAAGTCAATTTCAAAATCTCATCCATTTCTAACTCCTCTCCTATCATATGTCCTCCACAACGCTGCTAGTTTATAGGCCTTTTCAATTCTTCAAACCACGGACTCACCTCCAACCATTTACTTGCTGTTGAGTTTGATACTATCAAGGACCCAAATTTTGCAGATATAGACGGCAATCATGTGGGAATTGATGTGAACAGCATCAAATCAGTTGCATCGGCTTCAGCGTCATATTTTTCCAATACAGATGGCATCAAAAAGAGCTTCAATCTTAGAATCGCGAAACCAAATCACCGTTACCACTGGCTCCCATCAGAATCGCGAAACCAAATCACCCTCTCTTGAATGTGTCCATTGATCTTTCTCCAGTTTTCTTGGACCATATGTATGTTGGTTTCTCTGCAGCTACAGGAACCCTTGCGATAAGCAACCACTACATTCTGGGATGGAGCTTCAACAAAACTGGGCCAGCACAAAGCCTTGAACTATCAAAACTTCCTTCAGTTCCCTGACCCAGAAAATCCAAAAGAAAATTATATCGAGATGTTACAATCTCAGCCACAACAGTTCTGGCAGTGCTGATCATCACAATGGGTGGGATTGCTTACATAAAACAGAGAAGAAAATATGCAGAAATACGAGAGGATTGGGAAGTGGAATATGGACCTCAGAGATTCTTCTATAAGGATCTTTACAAAGCAACCAAAGGGTTCAACCACAGAGAGCTTCTAGGAACAGGAGGTTTTGGACAGGTTTTTAGAGGAACACTGCCTTCTTCCAATGCTCAAGTCGCAGTGAAGAGAGTCTCCCATGACTCAAATCAGGGGATGAGGGAATTTGTGGCTGAAATAGCCAGCATGGGAAGGCTCAGGCACAGGAACTTGGTGGCTCTCCTCGGCTACTGCCGGAGAAAAGGGGACCTTCTCTTGGTCTATGATTATATGCCCCATGGAAGTCTTGACAAGTTGTTGCACAGCAATGAGAAACCAAGCCTGAACTGGGCCCAACGATTTCAAATCCTCAGAGGAATAGCATCAGGCCTTTTGTAGTTGCATGAAGGGTGGGAAAAAGTTGTTCTTCACAGAGATGTAAAGGCCAGTAATGTCCTACTCGATGTTGATTTTAATGGGCGGTTGGGAGATTTTGGGCTTGCTAGATTATATGATCATGGTGAAAATCCTAAAACAACCCATGTGGTTGGAACTTATGGGTATATTGCACCAGAGCTTGCTATAACTGATAAGGCAACTACTAGTACGGATGTCTTTGCTTTCGAGGTTTTTATGCTCGAAGGGGCTTGCGGACAAAGGCCTATAAAGGTACAGGGATTTGATTATACAATTCTGGTTCAGTGGGTTCTGGAGAAATGGCAAGGAGGAGCAATCCTTGAGGCAAGTGATCCCAGATTGGGAGGTGATTTTGCGATGGAAGAAATGGAGTTGGTTTTGCAGCTGAGCCTTTTTTGCTCACAAAATAATCCAGTATCCAGGCCTAGCATGAGGCAAGTGATGCAATATTTGGATGGAGATGCCATCTTGCCGGAAGTATTTATGGATGCCGCAGGTGTTGGCATGGCTGCATTAGTTGGGAATGAAATGTCAAATGAATTTGCAATGACATTTCCTTCATCATCGTCGGAGAATATTTCTTCTAGTGCCCTATCTGGTACAGAATCACTCCTTTATGTGGGACGTTAGAATTGAATAAATTTTATAGTTAATAGATGTTGGATGATTTTTGTTTCGAGAACAACTGCAACTTGTTGATATTTAAGGTAGATTTTGAAATATTGAGGATGCGTTGGAAAACTACAGCATTTCACACAAAATAATCCCTCCAGTGGAAAGTATCATCTTTATTCCAATTGTTATTTTGTTGGCCAATTCTTCAATAGCATCAGTTGACCATACGTGAATGGGGAATGGTGCAGATTTAGCAATAGTACCAACAAATAAAATAGCACATTAGGTTGTGTTCGAGTTGAGATTGTTTGGATTCTGTTTTATATTTTGTTTTTGTTATTTTTTTGTGCTTATTGCTTAGTCTGTCAGACTAAGTGACTATATAAAATGATTATATTTTATATAGCAGACAGGTTTTGTGAAAGCATCTATTTGGAAATTGTTTTGCAATAAAGAGGACAGGGGAAGGGCTTGTGCGCATGGGGGGTTTGGTGTGACCAAAAAGACAAACTACACAACTATTTATTAACGAAAAACAACACAACCTTTTAAGGCACCATCATTCAGCAAATTATTCGTCTCGCATTTACAAGTTTATTCACCCCATTACATATCATCTCACTTAATGGTCTTCAACCATGTCAAGAATATGATAGAACTTATTTACAGTAGCAGTCACAAGCAATAAATCACCTCATTACACAATCCATAACATATCTATCTATCTATCTATCTATCTATATATATATATCTATATATATATATATATAAAGTACATTTAAACTAATCTTGTGCACACGCAAGAAATACACCCACCTCATGTCCAGGTGTCTCATAATTCCCGCCCTCGGATAAAATCTTAAACATTCATGTTGTAGGAGTTGGCACCTCTATTTCTACCACACATGCATTATAATTACAACATATAAATACATTCCACATATGCATTTCATCTTAACTATGCATATATAGCTATATATTTATGCTCGTGTTAGCATATTCCTAAATTTCCTTCCAAATGGTGCACCCTTACCACCCCCCTAAACGTTACTTATCTTTTACCCACTTACTCACTTCAATTCTAGTTTGAATCCTCATTCCATGTAATTGTAAGCCATTAAACCCATAAGAAACTTATTTAAGATCTTTTAAGTACCTTGATAAGGTTTTAGATCAATTACATAATAGTCCAGAACATCACAACAAATTTGTCAAGATTGACATTGATGAATCGGTTGGTCATTACCCTTCAACCGATTGAAACCCTTCCAGGACTTTGATCAATTGGTTTAACACATGCTTCAACCGGTTGATGTGCAAGTAGTACTCTGTTCAATCAGTTGAACAACCCTATTCCTAATTCTAGAACTTGGTTCAAACTCCATTTTCTTCCACCCAACCTCATTTCTAACACCACCCAACATTTAATTCACATAATTTTATTCCCATGTAAATATTAACAAATTACACTTTCACCCATAATGTTTATGAAATACCATGGTACGCGTGCTTGGGTCTCACAACTCTTTCCCTGTTAAGAAATTTCATCCTCGAAACTTAATTACCACACTAATATCAATATATACTTTGCTAACATAACTTATATTACTGAACTCAAGTGAACCACAACCATAATCCAATCCCAAAACAATTACTCAATATTTTGATAACTATTTTACATCAAAGTCTAAATACTACTTAGACATTTGAGATGATAATCAAAATCATTCGTATTTACTTCCCCGTACAAATGATTTTGGTTAAGTTTACATTACCTTTTCTGCACTATGAATCATAAAGTTCACGTACTCGCTTCAATTAACAACATGTCAGCACAGTAATCTATTCATTGAGTAGTTTTTGGATACTATATCTCACATCCTTTCAATATCACAGATCACAGTTAAAAGTGTGATAAATTATGACAAAAATTATATTATCCTTAATAATTCACACAAAACGCACATACAACAAGTCATCCCACAAACAAGACTTAATAACTCACCCTCCATTCAAAATCATCAAACATAAGACAAATCTGTCATATTTCAAGTATAAATAATTAGCAAAGAATTCCCAAGTATGAAAATAAATCATACATCTCACATTAAAACACTTAAATATAGTCATTTGCACCCTCCTTATTCCAAATCAAGAACAAGATTTTTTTTTCCATTGTCCCAACCAACTTCTATTGTCGGTGCGTTGTCCCGACATCACAACTACGTATTTACCTTCGATATTCTACCCCGGAGTCATGACTACATATTCACCTATATTGTGCTTACAATCTTATCCACAAAGTCACACTTTATTTAGTTAATATTCACAACATTCAAACATTGCTATTACACACAACATATCCCCATTACTCACCTTTACTATTCTTTTTTTTTTTTTTTGAAATAACTTCACCTCACTATACTTTAATTAGTTGCACCAACCTATCCTTTCCTCGATTTTTAATCATTACTTTTTGTTCTAATGATATATATTGCATACCACCTGTCCATACATATTATTTTTTATTTATACACATTCCGACATCAGATATAGACAATATGAATCTTAAGAATTCCAGATCAGACACAAGTACAATTCCCAGATGTTGCTTAGCCCACATTCATCTTATAATATTCCTACACTTCTTTACAAAAACATTTTAACATGTCATTATAGACTCTAGTAGAAACACATTTCACAATTGCAATGAAAATTCAAATTCCAAAAGATAAGTATAGAGCCCTTTTTACTAGTACTAACAGAAATAAGCTTATTAGTGGCAAATGTATTGGTGACGAAACTTATATCTTCACTAAAATTTAATGTTTAGTGGCGAAAATAAATATTGGCTACTAATCCAAAATATTTAGTAACAAGCTAAAAACATTGTCACTTAAACATTGTCACTAATATTTGAGGCGGGAGATATTTGGCACCAAAAAAAATGGAGGGAAGTACTTTAGTGGCAATTAATTTAATGTCGTCACTAAAAAATAAATCCAATGATAGCTCTTTAGTCACGACTTATCCACTAGTCACTATTTTTATGAACCAAGGTGGTATTTGTGAAAAAATTTAAAGTGTTGTTAATAATCTGATCACTAATTTGGGGGCGAGAATTTTTTGGCGCAAAAATATATTGGAGGGAAGGATTTAAGCGGCAATTATTTTAACGTTGTCGCTATATAAACAATCTAAGCCCAACTATTTATGAGTCACTATTTGGTATGAATCAAGGTGCTATTAGTGATGAATTCGAACTTATCACTTACAATTTTATCATTAATTTTGAGATGAAAATTTTTTAGTGCTAAAATGTGTTGGAGGAAAGCATTTTACCAACAAGATTTTAACATTGTCACTAAATAATCAATCTAACACCAATTATTTAGTGGCAATCTAACCACACGTCAATTTTTACATAAACCAATGAGGTACTAGTGATAAATATATCTTTGTCAATAATTATTTTCTCACTGATATTTATGAACTATGAGTTATTAGTGACAAATTTATGTTTGTCACTTGTAACAGTGTTAATCACTGTTATTAGAATCGGACTGGGCCGCCTGGTCAGATTGGTGAACCGGGTCCTTCAGCGGTATGGATCGCTAAAAAGATCGCTGGTATAATCAAATTGTTGAAAAATCAGATAATTGGTCAATTTTGACCAAAACTGATGAATTGAAAACTCTTAACACCGCCAGTTCAAAACTTAAACCAACTCACATCCACTATCCCTTTTTGATGCTTGGAGGACAATTTCTAGCATCATCAACATTATTGTATGGACTTTGACCATCCATGTACTTAAACTAAGGATGCAAATAAATTAGGCTTATAAATAAATCGAATTGAGATCCATATTTAACCTGAATACAAAACTATATACGAATTCACATTTAGTTAATTGAATATAGATTGAAGTTATTTTAGACTAGTTGAATTAGAATACGAATCATTTATAATGCTTAGGATAGATTCAAATTTTGATATATTGAAACCTAATTTGTTCAAATAATTTGAACCCATTATAATTGATTAAACTGAATCCGAGTATTAATATGCAATTAATTTAACTAAATTTCAATTTTTAAGATTACATATATAGACATTGAAAATGAAATACACCAGGTAATGGAATCAGGTTTTTCAATTGGATTTGTATTCTAATTGGTTTGGTCTAAATCGGATATGCTTATCAGCTGGATAATCAACTGTGCACTTGTACTAAAGTATCATAAATTAATCCAAATTTGTCATCTCGTATGTTGGGTGTCAAAATATGACACGATCTATTATATATGACATGAACACAATACGAAATTAAATGGTTTAAACCTTTCTTAAGTCATCAATTTCGTAAACTTGTGGACATGACATGATTACAAACCAAATCGGGTATGAGTGAAGTCAATCAAAAAAAATATATAATATGACTCGGTTATATTTCGATTATACACGATTTATATAATAAACAAACTCGATATGTCACATTTCGTTAAACACGAATTAATAAATGAAGTGGTTATGCATGGATTATATTTTAAGACACAAACTCGTTAAGACTCGATATGAACTCGTCTTACTCGACACAATTGACAGGCCTACTATTACGTACTATTTATATTTGTCAATTAATTTTAATAAAAATGTGTTATAATTGGTATGTGAAAGTTTGAGCTTGTTAGCTAGATTAAATATTATTTTTGTCCTAACTAAAAATTTAATCTAGAACAACTATATCATTATATTATATTATAACACCACTTTATCACTTAATAACTAGGCGGGCATTTTTTTTCTTTTTTTTTGAGCTGAAGGGCGGGGAACAAGCTTGAAGAAATCTTATCATTCACTCACTTATCTTCTCAATCTATCCGTTCTCATCCTACCTTGTCACAAATTCTTGCAGAATCCTACTATGACTGTTCTTCACATCCTCTATCGATATGTTTCTCTAGCTCTCTCAATCTCTAGACCGTATCTCTATCTCTCTCTACAAAGCTCTC